ACAATGCCTGCTTGAAGCCTGTTTCAGCCTTTATTCAGACAGAGAGCCGCCCTCAACGGCTCAAAATAAGGTCAAAGGTCATGCAGATTGTTGTTCAATATAATATATGCAAACGTCATGGGGATATCCCCGGGATATCCTCATTTGTTTACAGTGACGTCAACAAGCCGCTGTCAGCGGCTTTTCGCTCAAACTGCATATTTTATCTGCGCCGCTGTGAGCGGCTCGCAGTAGCGAAAGAGTTAATGCGGATGTGTTGTCACATTTTTTTCTCATGTAGGTCGGGTAATAAGATACATTTGAAATGTAAAATTGAAAATCTAAGACAGATAACCCATTTACTACCAATTACCTCTGTCATCAAAAGTAAAATACTCAAACTGTTTGGCCACACTAAATGAAGAAATTGTGGCATTATGCAAGATCCGTTTGGAAGGCATGATTAATGGCAAGAGAAATAGTGGTCGGCAACCTAAAAGGTGGAAAGATATATTACCGCATGCACAGGCCGTAGTACAATTTCATTGAACACTCTTGCCAAAGATCGAGAACTATCGAAACAATTAACTCATGCTACTGCGCATTCTGCTGTTGGTGGAGATAGCGGTTAATGATGAAATGTGAAATTCTATAGCGCATAATATATTATTAGTGCTCTATAAAACCAAGCATCTTCTGTTCACACTAGGGATTCGTAACTGGTGGTAAGGATGGCAACGTTGGTCTCTGGGATGAATCATTTGAACGCTGTCTCAAGACTTTCTCCATAAAGAAGAACAATTTAGCTCAAGGTTCAAAGGGCACCTTAGTTAAGGATAGTCCAGCAGTCCGAACTGTCATACTCGGCCATGGCCACATTCTCGTTGGAACTAAAAATGGCGAAGTCATTGAGATTGACAAGAGTGGACCAATTACAGTTTTGATTCAGGTAAGACCATTCTTAGTCTTAGTTGATATAATTTTTTGGTAAACCTCTGCTATTATAATTAGAATAATAATAATGTAAATTTATGACTATTGAAGGTACTGTCTGTAGTGAAATCTGAGAAAAACTGTACAATATTTAATTACAAAATGGTTTACTCATTTAAAATTGCAATTTTACAAAGTTTTTTTACACATAGAGATAGTATATTTTTAAAGGTAGGAGTGAAATTTAATAGAATGTTTTTTTTTATTAACATTGTTCATTACTTTTTAAAAATATCTGTTGTTTAAATGCCAATGTGAATCCTACAATTTCTTTATTTCATGCATTTACTGAAAATTTTCTTGTGTAGGGTCATATGGAAGGAGAGTTATGGGGCCTAGCCTGCCATCCCTCCAAGGAAATATGTGCAACTGTTAGTGATGATAAAACACTTCGAATCTGGGATCTCGGCCCAGAACACAAGCTGTTGAACTATCGCATACTCAAGCAAGGGGCACGCTGTTGTGACTTCTCACCTGACGGAAAAGCCATCGCCATTGGTTACAAAGATGGTGAGGATGAGCAGAAACCAATTCTAGTATTTTTTTCTTTCATTCATTCATTTAATTCAGCCATAAAAATTCACAATAAAATCAATTCAACAATGGCAAGGAAAGTCAAAAGCCGACAGGCATGGCAATCAAAATTTAGGAACAATAATACAATACAATAATAGGGAAAATAATATATTTTAGAAATAAAGCAAAACAAATAATTTATTAAGGAAATAACCAGGAAAAAGGAAAAGAATATTCAAAGGCAATTTATACAAAATGAATATTTACAAAGCTAATTATTTTATTTCATAGTTAAAGCCCAATTCCCAGTAGAAAAAATGCATATGCATTTTCTAATCATCATACACCATGGAAAAATATTGGCATAAATTTTAGTTTTACGCAAAAGGATAAAAAATATTGAGAAACAGAGACTATTTTTCATAGAAGATTACCATTTTCTCAACGAATTCTTTGTTACTAGGCAAATTTAGCGGTTGTAGATTGTATCCGCTGGAATGCTCTCGCTTTTTTGTATACTTTATACAGGCAATAAAATGCGTCCTCTCTAATGAGATTAGTTTCTATACTTCGCATCTCGCACACTACGGTCGATCATGTAGGTCTGCGATATATTTGTTTAATTGTCAAAACCTCGGTCAGAATCATTTTTTAAACAAATTTGAAATAATTCCTATGAAATGTTATATTTCACAAGTGTCAAATGTCTGATAACAGGTAGGTAGCCCTAGCGGTGATGATAGGCTGATGTTTCCTATTCCCACTATGTTTCTTCGCAGATCTATTGTAAAATCAAACATAAAAAAATCCTTCCACGTTTATTTTTTGCATGGAACACAAAAAAGAAAAAAATCTAATTTCAGTCTTATTTTACATTTTTTTCTTGTTAAGGAATGTCTAAATTCAGTTAAACTAGCAATTGTGTATTATAGTTATAAATCTTCATAACATATATAAAAAATTTTTCCTAACAACTAAAATTTTGGGTCTCTTTAATTATTTTTTTTTATATAATATGCATTGATAAATCCCTTATAAAATAAAACAATGTTTATTTCTGTTATATTAATGATGTAAGTTTTTTGATACAAATTTATATATTTAAGAGTAATTATTAGAGTATATTTTTTTCCATTTTTTTATGTTTCTGTTTCTCTATTGGCTTGGACAGCCACATGATAGTATTGTAGTATACTTTTGGTTATCCTGTCTTGCGAATTTATAAACTTTTTTGTCTATATATACAGTATACTGTTATTGAGACAAAATATATGAAATGAAAACAATTTAAATCATAATTGTTCATATTTTGAATAATAAACCATGAATGAAGAGCGAAAAAGGGAATGGTTATCATTCGATTTGTAATTTTCAACATCAAACAAATGGTGTATCCTGTATCCAAATATCAGTAGATATTTAATATTGTGCAAGTGATGAAATTTAATTTTATTCATTTTAGGTTAATAAAAATAATATATTCTGTTTGTAATTTTTGGAAATTTATTACATTAATAATAGCTTAGATCTCTTTTGTATATTGAAAAAAGTATATAATGTTAATATTGTTTGAATTTATTACAATATTAATAGCGTAGATTGATTTTGAATGTTTTTTTAATGATTGTGTTGTATTGTTGGAATTTATTACAGTATTAATATTTTAGATTGCTTTTGTATATTGTTGGAATTCATTATGTTATACTAACCTAGATTGCCTTTGTATGTTAATATGCATGAGGAATTATAACATTTTATTATGTCTATTTTCTGATTCTTAACATCACTTTAATCTGTTTATTCATATGTGGCAAAGACAAGCCAAACCAGTCACTCGTCGCAAATCCTGTTTGGAGATAATGACCAAAAAATGCTTGAATGTCAAAATTCTGGAAATTTATTTTATTGCACTAAAGCAGAAGTTTAGACAGAAAAAAAGAAATAGGCAGTCCAAGATTTAAGCCAGTGGGCTTGGCCCTGAGCCAATGGGTGGGCCACGCCCACTTGGGAAAATGCCCCTTGCCCCTTGACAAACACAGAAAAAATAGAAAATTATGATCTTTAGAGGGCATTTAAAGGTGTTTAAATGTTTAAATGTTGAAATTTTGTCTTCAAAGGCATAGTGTTTAATTAGCTATCACAAAGATATTTCAGTTATATAAATAGATTGCGCACTGCTACGGTACCGTTACTCACATAATGTTCTAGGCTATGCAGATGCATCTTCATCTCTCGCCTTTAGTCTAGTGTAAATTCTACTCTAGGTCTTCCGAATCGAGAGATAGGCCTAAACCTACTGTATTTTGTTGACTAATAAGATTTAACTTGTGACTTTAACAACAAATCTTCTTTAAGGTATTTCATGAATTAATTATAACCAGAGAGTTACAAACACCAACAATATTATGTTGGGGAACCGAATCCCATGTATTGTATTGGCAGAGCCACGTGATGCGTTGTGGGCGGCTCAGAACCGTCCATTTTCCAGTAGGGTATGAATGTTTTTAAGATGATGTGTGTTTAAGTGAACTTTTCATTTTTGGGAATCTCCACCAAATAATTGGTATGAAAACATTGTACATTCAATCAATAAAGGTTGTTTTTATCAAACGTAAATATGATTTAGCTTTAGTTTAATGTAGATATGAAGAATATATAGAACTTGCTAAAGGTAGACCAGGGCCAATTAGGCTAGGCTGAGCTGATTAGGCCAAGCCGTCCAAGCAGTCACAGTAAATGTGGCCGTCCTAAATAATTGTTGGCTGTCCAAATGAAGGCCGGATGGCTTGTTGGCTAAGCCTATGCACTAAACTAACCTTTATATCTATACATCATGCTATGCTGTTAGTTTCCCCATTTTTAATGCTAAAACAACAATTTTAATGATTTGGTTTCTGCCTAAGAAATGCCCGAAATCGTAAACTTTGAAGGCTGATTTCTCAAATATTGTTTTTGAAACATCTGTATGTTTAAACTCCTGTAATTTATAACGAAATGTCGGATTTAAATGATTCTTTTATTATTTAATAGCTCTCGTTTAACTGTTAAAACCTGTATTAATAACTAAAAATCAACTTTTGCGAGGCGTGACTAGTTTTGCTTGTCTGCCACATATGTTTTAACTATTTTTATCTTTGTCTCTAGCATCCCTCCAGCCATCAAATGATATAAAATGTGAGGTGGTGTTACAAACTTAGTCTTCTGGTACCCACCATATATATGAGTTATTGATATATTTTGATATTTATATTTTGTTTTGAATCAAGTTTCCAGTTTGATTACAACCGGAGTAAAACCATTTTGAAATTTCAGATGCGTGTAATTTAGAGAAAATTACCTGTAAAGATAAACAACAGACACAATTTTTGATGTAGATAGTTCTGAAAAGAATTGTTGTTTGTTGAGAATGTCTCAATGACATTCTCAACAAACAACAGTTCTTTTCAGAGCTATGTACGTGGTGTACCACGATCGATATAAAATAAGACTTCATACATATTTTATTGAATATATGTAATTTAATCATGTACAACACAACTCATTTTGTTACGGCACTTCAAAAATCTACATAAAATGCACTACTTATGTTAGCTTTACTTATTTTTTATTGACCAAATATCTGATTCCTTGGTCTCTTGTGTAGGAAGCTTCACTGTTGTAAATGCAGATACTCTAGACGATATTGCCGGGTACCATCACAGAAAAGAAGAAATTTCAGATATCAAGTTTTCCCCAGGTAAACTAAATATAAAAGCCTTGATATAAGTAATTCCCAACATGATATATCAAATTTTTAGGATGTTTTTTTTTTTTTTTTTTGATTTGTGTTTTTAGTGTTATTATTTAATGGAGAAAAGCATATTCTTATTGCCTTTATCATCATTGTTGTGATTGTTGTTGAGATTGTTAATATTTTGATAGTTATTATTATTACAATGCTTTTATGCATTCTATAAATCAGCACATCCTCTAACACATACAAAGATATTGAATAAGTACAAATACAAAAATATCCTTTAAATAATTTTCTATTTTAGGTTCTGGAAAATATATAGCGGTAGCATCGCATGATAACTATGTGGATATATATAGCGTTATGGGTAATAAGCGTGTTGGTACGTGTAAGGGATCATCAAGTTACGTCACTCACATTGACTGGGACAACAATGGTAACGCAATTATGTAACAATGTTTACTTCAATGTATAACTTTTGTGTGTATTTTTATTAGATGTACTGTATTGTTCTTATTGAATATAGTAACCATAGAGAACATAATACTGCATATGCTATAGTACATTAGTATTATGGATAAAGGAAGAAAAAGAAGTCAACTCAATCAATTATGGAATATATTGATGTCATAATCATCTTTGAGGCTCAGGTTTTTATTAATAATACCCATTGTATTATGCTTTTTAATGTAATTATTGATTGGCAATAATGCAACATTTTGAAATTATGCACATTTACTGTGCGTGTGCGTTTGACTTCCAATACTTTTATATAATTTTTATATACTAAATTTTACTAGGTTTTATTTATTTTTACGTATTTTATATAATTATATGCATGTTTATATATAGTTATATTTACTTTAATATAATTATATATTTCATGTTTTTGATGTCACACAAATACATTAAGTTAAAAAAACCCCTTTAATACACAAATTATTAAAATTATATAGCATTAAACAACCAATTACAGTATACCGTATTGTCACTAATAATCACTCAACTCTAATAAACGCCCCCCTTTTTTTTCATATGCCAAGTAACCTTTTATGAGTACCCAACTGATTTAAATAGAAATAAACAGAGATTTCTTATGTTTGGAATGGGTAACTATTATTTATAAATACTAAAATCATAATATTTTAACTTTATCGGCCGATTAGAAACAACTGGAAGTGCTTGTATTTCAACGCATTAGCTAGGGTCGCCTCTCTAGGGAAATGCCCACTCCTCCCACGTAGACGGTTGCTGATAAACTTTTTACTAAAACTAGATACAATAAAACACTTAGTGAGCATATATATCTATTATTCAATCAATCATTCTATCATTTTGGTGGCTAATTAAAGCCGATATTGAGTTAAACATATTGGTTGGCCTAAGCCATCACTACTCACTGTGTGAAGCATGCAACCGTCAGAAACAAAAGATTACGGAGAAATACTACCTGACACAATGTTTACGCATGGTCAGATTGAAGAGAGATGACATATGCCTTTCTACAGTTAAGTTCCAGTAAAAAAGTAAAATTCAAAGAAAAATCATGTTTTTTTATAGGACACATTAATTTCACAAGTTTTTAGTTTATTATTGTTACATAGCCACCCAGCAACTAGATGTCGTACAGCAAGTTTCAACCAGTTCATCAACCGCCATGTGCCTTTTATCAATGTTGGTGAAGGTACTCACGTGACATCGAGCAGCGAAAAGATAATCGTTTGTTATTGTTTTGGGAATGTAATATGAAAATACTTATTTATACAAACCAAAACCATTGCTTGAATATCATAGAAAATGTAGGAATCTTTTGCAGCACTGTACTGTAGTGAGTACAATTACAATTACTAGGCCAGCCGGTCCTACGTTAGGCTAATAAATTGGGATAGCTTGGGCCTAACCTTGACTAAAGGCTAGACGGTTTGACATCTGGATTTTTTTGGAGTAGGTTGATGACCGGACAGGTGTATTTCGTGGTCAAAATCGTGTTTAACATTTGCGGCTTATACACCACCGGAACTTGTTTCCTAACAAAGAAACAACTGATTGACTGCTTAAAGCAGCTTGGTAAAGGTAGTTTATGATTTTACAATTCACCTCTAAAAATCCCCCCCCCCCCTTCCTTTGGAAAGTGCAGCATCCCGGGGGAATTTATTAGAAACAATACAGTATTAATTATACAGCAGTTAATAAACACATTTACCATTTAACTACAATTTTATTGTTTTTCCATTATTATGTCATTTGAATTGATTTGTCAAAATATTTTGGTTTCGAATACACGATAAATCGTTATCGAATCTTCCTAGTGTAAAAACTTCTCTTATTTCTTTAATTTTCTATATGAATAATTGCTTTTTAGCTTTTTATCGTTATCGTTGCAGTATAAACGGACTTTAACTCTAAAAATCACTTAAATTAGATGTCAAATGTATACGATTACAGTTAAACTTGCCGACTTTACCTAACTCAAATAAAGTCAAACTTATTTTACATGCCAAATTGTTGTGTTTTCGATTAATTAACAATCTGTAAGTCAAATTTTATCTAAGTCTAACAATTTTTCAATGGCATTTTGGATCAAAATCTGACATTGTAATCATTTATCATGGATGGCATATATTGGTTTTTTTTAATTTTTTAAATGAACAGCTGTTTCATGTATATTATTTAGAGGCCTATTAAACCAGTCGGGTTTGACTCTTAACACCTCTTACCGTACGTTTGGATAACAGAAAGGCTCATTTCTGGCCCTTTAACTGGAGCTTTAGTAAAGAAATAGGCTGTCCAATCCACTTAGACGCTAATTTTATTCAATATGCATAATTGTTCATCATTTTTTTCAATTTCATGTGTATTACTTTGATGTGTTTTTATTTATATGTTTTGTATTACCATGTAAACTTGTGTAAATGTTCAATACAGGCCACTGTTTGAGCTTACACTGGCTAAAAGCAATTGATCGATTGATTGCATTTATTCAATGCTCGACATGCGCATACAAGATAAAAAATGATTTGTGTACAAGAAATCATAATAAATAAATCCCATCCCTTTTCGTAAGAGGCTTCACATCTTTATCACTGCAATTCTTCCTGCAGAACACTTGATCCACACCAGATGATCATTGGTAACAAATTGCCAGTTCACACCCATAATCTTTTCATCATCTGATACATTTGCTGATTGTTTCTCTTAATAGTGTACTTATTATAAATTTTAAATAGGGAAGCTATTAATGGTAAACTCAGGAGCCAAGGAGCAACTCTTTTTTGAAGCGCCAAGAGGAAAGCGGCAAACATTACGCAACTCTGAGATCGAGAAACAAGATTGGGCCTCATGGACATGTGTGTTGGGCCACACATGTGAAGGGGTATGGCCTGCAAAATGTGATGTGACTGATGTCAATGCAAGTTGCCTTTCTCACAATAAACAGACACTTGCTACAGCTGATGATTTTGGTTTTGTTAAACTATTTGAGTGGCCTGCTGTGGTAAGTTTGGTTTAACTATATTAAATTTTGGCAAGAATTTTATTTTACCTTGATTTTCAGACCTCCTACCTACAAATATTTTATTTTTTTTGTGATTAAAGTTTGCTATAAAACAAGTTAAAAAAAAGTTCTGTCTAAACATGAAAATAATAATTTCACTTAATCTTAAATATTGAATTTTTTTTTTCTCTTGGTTTCAGGGAAAGTTAGCAAAATTCAAAAAATATACAGGTCATAGTGCTCATGTAACCAATGTCCGGTGGTCTGCAGACGATAAGAAGTTGGTATCAGTTGGCGGAGCTGACACTGCCATTATGATTTGGTCACATGATGCTGCTGGACAGAGGGATAATCCATGTGGAAGCAGCGATGACTCTGATACTGATTCAGAGGAAGAAGGGGGTAAGTCTTCTTTTTCGCTTATGAGAAAGTTGTGGAAGTTGAAAATAGTTAAGGGCCCCAGTATTAAACTTTCTGGTTCACGAGCCAACATCAGGATGTTGATGCAGCTTGCGAAATTGCTCACGAAATTATAAAATTGGGATGCTGTTTAATTTATGATAAGAGAGGCTTTGCTGAAGAAGTAAAGACTTTCACATGGGCAAAAGAAAGTAAAACACAAAGCATTAATTCTTTTATAATTATTTAATATGAAAAACATGGATAGACAATAATTTTATAGATGGTGTCTGTAGCTCCATCCTCATTCATGGCATTTCTATTAAGTCTGTATAAGTAATTCAAAGAGTTTACTGTGTTCAAAGTGGAAATTAACAATACAGGTTTTCTCTTACCTACAGTATGCTAACTCATAACCAAATTTAGGTTGACTCTTACCAATAATTTGACTGACTCATAATCCATGTTTGGCTAAATCATACTGGTTAGAAAATATGAGACATTATATACATCGTATTTATTCGAATAAACGCCCCCCATGAATAAACACTCTCTAAATGACTAAACAAAACTAATGAGCGCAACATCATTCTAAACACATTTTATTAATATTCTACTCCAGTAGAATTACATTTTTCTAACCTGGTTGGGATTAATAAATATTTAGGATCATGCAATAACACATTTAGACGGTAATTATATGTTATAGTTGTAGAAATAAAGTGGCATTTATCCATTGTACACCAACAAATAAACGCCTCCCTCGAATAAATGCCCCTCTACAATAAATGCCATGGGCCGTTTATTCGAATAAATACCATAAATCAAGAATTAATGATCATCGGTTCGTCGAGAGCCATAGCCTTTATTGTTATTGCTGCCAAGTTTAGTTTACAAATGAGTGGGTGTAAATGGAACTTTTCTTAATTTTATTTTGTTGTTATGTTGTTTTCAAATTTAAAAATAAATGTTAACTTAAATATGTTGAATAAAATATATGTGAGGTCTTATGGATCATTTCTTAATTTTATTTTGTTGTTATGTTATTTTCAAATTTAAAAATAAATGTTAACTTAAATATGTTTAATAAAATATATGTGAGGTCTCGCCACAAAATCAGTCTCATGGTTAGAAATTCAAAAATTGAGTTTATATTATATTTGGGTAGATCACATTACAAGTGTTCATTTGGTCTTTGAATGGCTTCCCTACTATAAGTAAATCTAGAGATGTGAGCATTTAAAGTTTAGGTGTATAGGAACCATGTTTTGAGAAAATCAAAGATAAACTAACCTGTACAAATAATATGACTAGAATTACACAATATGCGAAGAGAACACTGTTTTAGTAAGAAAATTCACTTAAAATGTACACACTTATAAAATATAAGTATCAAGTTATTCAAAAACATTAAAATCAAAATTTTGTAAAAATGTTGACTTTGGCCTGTTTTGGTGTAATATCTCAATATGATTTCACCAACGATGCGTGTCATTTTGTGGTGAGACCTCGCGTATGTAATAATTTATAGGTATGTACTGTGTGTTTACAAAAAATATTCAATATTTATTTAGTTCTAAATTCAACATAAACTTTCTAAAAAACTGAATACTGTTTAGCTATTGTAGCCCAGAAATAAGGTATATCTTTAATGTGGGGTAGGGGGGAGGGAAAAGTTTTTTTGCAATTTTATGTTCTTACTGTAATTTTTCATTTTTTTAAATTACCTGTATTTTTGGCAATTACCAGCCACTTATAAGGTCAGTAATAATCATAAGTAAGATGTTAATGGCAAATAAATAGTCTTATGATGGCATGTATAATGTAGACATAATACTTGTCAAAATTTTGGAGTGCTACTTTCTAAAATCTAATTACAACATTCAATACAGTTCAAGTGTTTGAAGTGAAAGTTTTCATATTACAATGTACAAACATCAAGTCTTCAAAAGTTTTAGCAGACGTATTGTGATGATCACTCTGTTGCAGGATCTGTTCTACTGATTCAAACATCTCTTCAGCCTTACATGAGATTGCAGGAATGCATAAGACATTCTGAGCAATCTTTGCTAGAGTTGGGTATGTGTCTTTGTTCTGGCACCAGTAGTCTAAGGTACTTGTATTGAGACTTACATTGCTTGCATGGATGTAGTTCTTTATCTCTTGTGTTAGAGAGACCGAGGAACTTGATGCTTTGTCAGGTCCTTCTGTCATGAAATCAAAGAGTTTCATTTTTTTTGATGGAGTAGATTCAGATTCTGCCTCCTCCATCTTAATGGTTACTCCATTTGGCAAACAAGAATTTATTTGATTTCCTTTCTCTTCAAGAAGCTGCATGCATTTTATAAGATCATTTTCCTGACACCAGTTACATTTAAAGCGTGGATCAAGTACTGCAGCTAGTAAGTATGTATCGTTAAACTGATAGGAAGCAAACCATGTTATGGTTGATTGGCTTAACTGCTGAACCATCTTTGTCACATGTTGTACTCTTGTCGTCTGTAGGAAGTGTTGCAAGCCCCGAATACATGGGATCACATAACTTACTGAGGCAGTGCTACTCTTAAGAATATAGTCAGTAGCATCCTCAAATGGTTCCAACACTTCAATAATTTCCCGTAAAATTAATCTGTCTTTAGGCGTCAGTGAAATCTGCTGAGAGTACGCCATGATTACTTTTTCTGGCAAACTCAGCAGCCATTTCAGTTTCTTCAGTTGGAAGTGCCATGGAACGACAATATTTTTTCCGATTGTTGGCCTAGATGCCAGAATTTCTTCTGAAATATCTGATGCTTCAATGGCATTAAGAAAAGAGCAAGCTTTACTAAGAACTTCTCTCAATTCGTCAAGTTCCTCCATTCCATCTAGAACACAGTGTTGGAGTGTTTTGGCAAAACAAGGTAATCTCTCAGGAATAACAATAAACTGGTCCGGGTTATAATGAAACACAGAGTTAGCTTCTATATTATTTTCATTTTCTAAAGTATCAATGCTTCCTTCAAATCCTGGCAGTTCCACCTTCAAAGACTTTATCTCATTGAAGGTACTACCTGTAATGACATTCTCCACCTTGTCTGACAGATTAAATTCATACAATGTTTCTTGGTAGAATTGAAGAACCTCTTCATTAGTAAATCTAACCTGTGAACGTTTGCAGGCCAGAAGTGCTGTGTATGCTTTCCAGTCGCTTATAAACTGAATTGTCATTCCCACAAATGAGTATCCTTTGTGGGACCACATGTCAAAGGTGTTACAGATTGAGAGAATATTATTTAGTTTCTGAGTAATATTTAATTGCAATTGTTCTTGCTTGTTTGGAAAGTAGGTTGAAGTCAATTCTAGTTTAGATGGCAGCATACAAGAAGCATTCATAACATTAACAAATTCTTTGAAGCTCTCAGTTTCTAAAACTTTGAATGGCATCAGATTCTCAGCCAATAAGCACACAACAGCATCTGCTAATGTCTTTTCCAACTTTCCTTTACTGCTCTTGTTTATATCATCAGCAGCGGTAATGCCACTTTGTGTAATTTCTGGTTGTCTGCTGCCCCCATTAGCCTGAGGCATTTGGAGATCTTGACTACTACAACTAGAGGTCAGCGGGTTGCTATGGTACATCCTGCGCATATATGGAGGAATGAAATTTGAGACACTACTGGCAGCCTGGTTAGAAGATGCTGGCAAGGTGGCCGTGCTAGCAACTTCAGAAAACATTACTTGTCTGGACACATTAGAAATATTAATTCCACTTGGAATTATATTGTTGCTAATGCCGATATTAGAAGAATCCATCGTCCTGAAAAATGGCATCGCCTCTGCTTGGGACACTGATCCTGAGGAATTTTTCGATAGAATTCTTCTTTCTGCTGTTAGTCCCGGAACCTTAAATTTTGGTCTGTTCTTGTTGATAGGCTGCAGGCTTCGGTTACAAGATGATAGGTAGGCACAATATTGCTCTTTATGTTTTCTCTGAAACAGAATTAAAAAAATATTATCATTGAGGAGGCATTTATTAGAGGGAGGTTTTTTTTAAAAATTTATAGTTATTACTGTATTTATTAAAATAAACGCCCTGGGCCATTTACTGTTGAGAAGGGTTTTTTGAAGGGGAAAATATTTGAGGAAGCCATTTAAGAGAGGTTTTTTTTTTTTTGGTGTAAAATGGTATACTCAAGTAAACATCCCTTCATTCCACTATAAATATGGAACTATGATACAATTGATTTCAAATTATGTTTAAAATAATTTACAATTTACAGGATGTGCTTCAGTGTGACCTAAAAACTATAGATAGGGTTCAAATCCTAAGTCAATAGGAATTTGTGTTAGGAATATAAAACATCTCCACTACCTAAGCCTTGTAATAAGACTTAGTTTATAGACCTGAACCATGAAATTATTTAATGAAAAATGGAATAGAAAGTGTGTGTTAGCCGTTGTATTACTCTTGACAGCCAAGTTTCGATTTATATCGGTTTATTTTTAAAATTTATAGTTATTACTGCATTTATTCAAATAAACGCCCTGGGGCGTTTACTGTTGAGAAGAAGGATTTTGAGGGGGAAAATGTTTAAGGGAGGCATTTATTGGAGTGAGGTATTTTTTTTTTTTGGCGTAAAATGGTACAGTACATATTCAAGTAAACATCCCTTTATTCTGCTATAAATGTGGAACTATGATACATAATTGATTTCAAATTATGTTTAAAAAAAAATTTACAGGATGTGTTTATTCGCTTCAGTGTGACCTTAAAACTTCTACTTTGCAAACAATTTATTTTTGGTTATTAGAATTATTTTTTATTTTCTTAATATACTGTAGTATCTACATATTCTAGATTAAATCCCATATATTTCTGCAATATTATTAGCATTTAAATTGATCCATAATTGGTAAACCTATTGTACTGTTTCTCAATGCTTTTGTTCTCATCGGCATACTAACGTAATTATGTTCACTGCCGTTCAGAACAATTACAAATTATCAGTGACTCACAGCTGTCACAAGTGAAATAAGATCTAATGAGAGTTGTGAAAGTAGAGCTTTTGTGGTTAAAATGCTTGCCTTCTAATCTGGGTTCTGGGTTGAAATCCTAAGTCTATATTAATTTGTGTTAGGAGATAAAACATCTCCACTACCTAAGCCTTGTAATTAAACAGTTTATAAAACATTATTTTTTTTATGTAAGAAGGTCCCTGAATACCAGCTGACCTAGGATAACCTGGAAAGGTCCACCTTTATGGTTAAAAAATATACCTGGGAATGTGCATTTGTTCTTAGTGGGTAAACAAATTTTACAAAATGCAAGATTTGAACTCAGAACCATATAATTTGAAGGCAAAAAATTATTAAGTATTTTGCTGTATAAAGGGGTCATTTAAAATTTCCAACATTTTCACAAGTGTACAAACAGTACGCTAGGGGGGAGGGGGTAGACAAATGTTATACACTTTTACATATGCATGAAAATGTTGATTCAAAATAACATGCAATATTTATTTAAATAATCAATATTTTTGACCAATTGTAATGCAGCCTTGGATATAATTAGACATTTTTATGCAACCAAGTACAGTAGTTTATTTTTGACTATACAAAAAATGGAGAATGGTTTTGCAAAATCAACATTTTTTTATGTACAGTACATTTGCAGAGGGGAGGGAGGCGTACCGAAAAAGAGTACTGTTTGTAGACTTGCGAAAATGTTGATAATTTTGAATACCTCCTAAGCATTTAAAAGTTGATTCTCACTATTAAAAAAAACAAATTCAAAAATATAGGTCTATAGTTTATATCACTGAAGTGCCAAGAAAATTTAAAGAACACTCGCACCATCACTTGTGATGAATAGGGCAACTTGAAAAAGTCACTCACTTTAATTTAGCCTAGTAACTAGTTCCAACTACCTGTACATTTTTTTTAAATTTAAATATTTTAACATTAAAAAAAATTTGAATTTTTGTATAGGATTTTGTATAAGTTTGGGCAAGATGTCTATAACACCTTGAAAATAAACATGTTGTGTTTGCTTAGTATAAGCTAATATGAAATATTTACTTTACAAATAGGCTTATACCATATCAGTAACCACATCGGATGAGTATTTTTATATTGTTAAACTCTATAAACTCTATAAATTGACCAAAATAAAACATTTTTTTTGCATTTCTCACAGCTTTATGGTAAATCCTTGAATAATCCTTTTTTTTTTTGCTGAGCGCCACTCTTGAATAAGTGCAGCAGCGCTTATTTCAGATTATTCTATTTTGAATATGTGCCGCAGTCTTCGAACCAGTGTTCAAATGAATAAATAACACAAAGAAGACACAGGCATCTTTATAAACGTTATTTAAGACGATGTAGGGCCTATGATAGGCCTACTGAACTACGGTAATATGTGATAGGTAACATGGGAACGGGCATGGAAAGCGCCACGCTGATATTTTTTATTAAGTGCCGCGGTCGAATAAAAGCTGCATTGCAGACTCTAAAAGTTTCATAAGTGCTGGGGCGCATATTTGAGGATTTATGGTAATATTATTACTTTTAAGTGTACACACAATTATTAGTTAGAATTAGACAAATTGACTGAAAACATACAGTAGTATAAAAAATGTGTTTCACATCACAACTGAACTGGTGTTGCAGCCGGAACGATCCTACTGTACACCAATAGGACTTGGCCCTAGTCCTAGTTAAGATTGTTAAAAATTAGCGGCTGATGGGGATGGCGGTAGTAGTCTTGGTAACAGGAATATCCGTACAGTAGTAGTAGTAAAGCATTTACGGTAGCAGCACATAGAAAAATTGATTAGATTATCACATCCGCCTGTGTCAACAAATTTGGAAATACAAATAATTTTGAATAATAATAATAATTTTGTTTTGTTTGTTTGTTTGTTTTTTTTTTGTTGCATCAATTATTTTAACTGCATAAAAACAACTTTGCAAAAAACAAATGCTCACAAAATATGAAGGAATTGGCTCCGAATTCGGCAGATTTCAAACTCTTCCAATTGATTAGATCAGACATTGGGATGGCCGTAAAGTTGAATGCAAATCGCATTCTTTAAACTTTATTGTTTACTGTCGCCCAGTGGGCTGATCGGATCATTAATTAACAGCGTGGCGACTCACATGTCCACAGAGACTCTCGCTGCTAAAAATAATTTGTTACATCATGTATTAGAAGTGGGGGGTTTTCCTTGCGATAGGTGTGTTTGGTTGGATTGGCTGTTGTAGGGCAAAAAGTAACCTACAGTACAACATCAAGAAAGTTTAGGAAAAGGCTGGCCTAGCACGAGGTAAAGACCAAAGTCTAGGCGCCTACAGTATGCCTACTAAAATTAACGTGTTTCCTTCCCTTTGATGCTCAAGTAATGTCTGATTTTTTCACCGGAATAATCCTACCCATCCCCCTCCCCCTTCAAAAAAATAAATAAATAAATCTCCCGCCCTCATCAATTTTTTCAATTAAAAAGAGTCATAATCTAATAATTTTTTTTCTATGTGCTTTAAAGTATACCGTGTAATATTTTGTCTTGTGTGAACTGGACTACAAATAGGAAATATGTGGATAGTGATTGGTGAGAGGTCACCGTCCTCAGGGCTTACTGTAGGGTAAAGCACCAAAAGGAGTCTGAGAACCAAAGGCTCTATTTCATGTATTTTAAATGATTTTATTATTAATTATTTTATTATTATTATTAAATATTATTATTATTATTATTAATAATTTATTATTATCATTACATAATATTACTTATGGTTATTTATTCAATTATTATTGTTGTTTTTATTATTAATTTTTTTTATTAGTAATATAATTATAATTATTATTATTATTATTATTATTATTATTATTATTATTATTATTATTATGTAACTAAAACCTACCTTAAGGGGAACTTAGACAATGGAGAAATTAGAGAACAATTAAAAAAACGATGTTAAGGGGAAAATAACACAAAAGATATTCCTCTTAAGTTTGATTTAGAGAAATTATTATTATTATATTTATGATTATTATTACTGTTAAATATTATTCTTTTTTTTTTTACTTAATATTTGTAGTTGATATGCATTATTTTTATAACTAATAATATCTGACTGTTATTTCTTTATTTGAACCCAATACACACATTTTATAACATGTTTCCAATATAGATTGCTATATTATAATGTAATTCAATTACTGATTTGAGTGATTAGTTTTTGTGTATTTTAGCCAAGTAACATAATACCCACATGTCTTATGTACATATGTAATGAGATATACAGTATAGTAAAAAGTTGAAAAAATGTTAACTTTACCTTTAAATGTGTTAGGAGGTTAGATGTGGTCTTGGTAGAAGCAGAAATATAAAGCAAACAGTATTTGCACTGAGCCTTGAAATTACCCATGTTCACTGAAGATCCTTCAGTACTGTAATGCTCAAAGATCTTTGCTTTGTATGGTATACTGTTATTAGCAGTATCAGGCACTCCATCTTTGATAACACTGTCCATGCTGGCTAATGATGTACCCATAGAACTCAAACCCTCCATATTCATGTTGTTAAACATACTGTTTCTTACTAGAAGAGGAACACAAGATAATAAAATACTAAGGGCAGCTACACTTTCTGGGTCATTCCATTCCTACTGCAGGGATGTAATACAAATTACTCCAATTGTAATTGTTAATTAGATCTGCTTACATACAAAATATTGTAAAGAATTGTATTAATATAAAGGTAGGATGTTCCCAGATATGTACATAATAGTTTATAGAACATATTCAGTAAGAAATTGTAAAATTCTTATAAGTAATTGGTAGTAATTGAGAACAAATAACCCAGGAAGAATATTACTCTTGACTCAATTACTGTATGCAGTGCACTGTGGGATAGATAATCTAAGTGTTGATTACATGCATGACTGAACATGAACCACAGCCTTCTTTCAATGCAGCAATTACATGTATTATGGAAGGAAGCCATTACAATTCAGACATTTTCCTGTGTGAATTGTGAGGGTAGCTGGAAATGATTTTTGAGGAGTTCGAGGGTATTTTGACTGATAAATACATTAATTTTGTATTATAAAAAGTGGATATGATCATGTAGTTAATGATTATCTATAATTTGAAACAATTTGTATGAAAATAAAAACAGAAGCTTTTGGAGAATATTAGGCAAATATTACAAACAAAGCATATATTTTCCAGGTTTTTTGAGTGAATGAGGCCTGTTCCCTTCTGTTTTTTTTTAAATTTAATTTTATTTTTCACAACGAGGGCTTTAACATCATACACACATGTAGGTACTCATTGCTTGTGAGGATGCCATAGTTTTTCGGGTATAAGCCCACCTTGTATACTACAGTAAGCCTGTGACTCTTCTTTGTTTAATTTTAAAATGAAAGAAAAAGTTCATGTCCCCCCGGGCAAAGCCCCTGGGTATAATTTGAATGAGCAGCTGACTTCTACTTATACTTTCAGGCAAATATTTGCTTGAATCGGGCATGCAGTGTTAAAAAATGGCTATTAAATTCTTTTGTGTGAAAAAAAGGTTCCCAAGTCCCCTTCTCCACTCAGTTTACTTCTATATTCCAAAGGGAATAGTAATTATATCTGAGCACTATGGTAATCTGAATTTCTGCAAGAGTTTGTGGGTGTTTTTTCTTGGTGATTTTTTAATTTTTTTATTTTAAGGTGGCCCAAAAAAGAATGTGGTATGGGGACATATATTCATCATGGAGAAAATATATTGGAGATGATATGTTATCTCCGTGTTTAAAGTACATAAGGCGAGACTTTTTTATACCTTGTTTAGCGAACCCGCCGACTGCAAATATTGATGATTTCGAATAAAAATAAAATTGTATTTTTGGCCAGTTAGCACACCCGCTGCCAGGAAAAGTGGACATTTCTGGAAAAAAAAGTTTTTCTTTATTTTTATTACGCCCTCCGCTGCCTTGAAATCTCCAAAGATAAGATATAGTTCTTCCTATAAATTTGAAGCATATAACCATCCTATTTTACATTCGCCAATAAAATTTTATTTTTATTTTCTCCGTCTGGATGTTGGCAAAACCGTTTGCTAAATAAGAAAACAAAATTTTTTTTTTATCCACCAATGAGTATCCGAAACAATGAATAAAAAATGTATCGCCTTAATTTTGCTTAATACCTTGTAATTCCTGTCACTGAAAAAGCTATGAATCATATATGACCTATAACCTCCTCTTTTCCCTGGAGATTGTTGATCTAGTCATAACAGTCAGAAATATTCACTGAGCCAGGTAATAATCGTCTGCAGATAAACACTCATTCTACTGAGAAGTTTAAATATATTGGCCTAATTAATCAGAGAACACAAAACCAATATATATATATATATATATAAAATCAAAAGCAACACGGTTTTAATCTGCCTCAGTAGAAATTTATTTGATACCAAATTTGATATCAAATCCTCTGTGTATTCCTCCTTGAATATGAAAATGGGCTGATTTTTTGGGGTGGGCTAATACACAGGGAATCCTCTGTTCATGAAAACAATTGTACTGGCCAATTAACATTCCATTCCCAATTCAAAGCCAATCTTTTATTTTTTTTAAAACTGAAAGTCAGCTTAGAAAATCGTATCCCTGCGCTTTTTGCCATGGAAATTGCTGGTATATGAAATTGGATGTAAAGTAGGGGTGGACTTTTATACCAGAGGAACTGTGGTAATTAATATATGTAGGTCATGTGATAAATATTATTGTGAATATTAATCTATTTGATAATCACAGATATTGCTTATAATAATATATAATTAGAATTTATGCACACTTCAGCTCTGCACAACTGCTCTCTAAATTCACTATTTAAAAAATAAAAATTGCACGATACCAAAAAAAAAAAAAAAATTAGCTTGCTCATTCTGAAGACACAAATCAACTTGAACACAGAAATTAGTATTTATAAATGTTTACTCTTAATTGTACAGCAAAAAATGATAGAAACACTTTCAGTCACTGGAAGTGTTTTATTTGTTTTATCATTATCCTGTATAAAAATCAAGGTACACATTTTAAAAATTCAATCACTTCTTTGGTTGCTACAAAATGAGTAAGTTAATTTCAAGATTAGTTTTATGATTTTTATTTGTCATATTCAGGGTACAATACATAATTTCACACAGTTTAAAATTTGTTGTATTAGGACTATTCCCTTTGTTGTGTTTTCTTCTATTTTTGATACATACAGTATAGTACCATAAAGGTTTACTATAATGCCTCCATGCATAATAAAGCTTTGGCCTTTAATTTATTTGTTGTTAATTTTACAGTAGTTTAAGTCAAGTAAAAATGACCTTGAAATTTAAAATATCCATAAATCGTTTATAATTACACCATCAATTATATTACACTATAATTTACACCATCAAAATTATCAATTTTCGAATTTACTGTTTTAATATATCATTTTGATAAAGTCATATATTTTTTATGACAGTGATCCTGTATATTATTTATATATAATATTGTAATTATAATAATTGTATATAATATAAATATTCAAATAATTTGTTTGGTAATTGACAAAAAGCTTGTTTGATTTCATTGTTAATTATTTATATTGCATTTCTCTATACATATTGTAATTCCTTGTCCTTTTTGTCTCATGGGGTCATATAATTAGCGTCAACTACCGTCAACATGAAGCTATTTTTATCGTCATCAACCAGCAACATAGGCTAATTATTACACAGTAAGCTGACAGGTTTTTTGATACATATTAGTATGACTAATTAATTTTTCTGTAAAATTTGATTTTCATTTTTTAACACACATTAAAAAATCAAAGTTATCGAAAGGCATAATTACAATACGAGACAAAGGAGAATGAACTTTGTAAAACCTAAAATAACCAGTAAGACATGTTACAGCATACAAATCTTCACCGAGTTTATATATATTTTTTTAAAAAGAGTAAAATTATAATTATCAATAAAATCTGAAATGACAAACAATCAGTAAACATTTTGAACATATAAATATACTTTAAACATGAACATATTTTTTTGTGAAATTTTATACCTACCGCTGTTTACCTGCTTTTTAACTTTCACTTTTACGTCTTTTAAGGTTTAACTAGAGTTTGTATTTTTTTTATTAGTTTTACTTAATGATAAGTAATTTTAAAGGTTTTTAACAAATTTTAATGTTTGTTTTTTACCTGTTTTTTATTTGCATTCACTTTTTTATTTAAGGGACCCCAACGGAAATAAACTGATTCGGTTTGTTTGGTTATCCTGAGCTGTAAATGTTTTACTAAATTATCTTTTTATTGTTCATTGTTTTGCTATTTGTAATGTATTGAAATATGCTCAAATAAATTTGAATTGAATTGAATAATACACTAAGATACATGGTTTTATTTGAACACTTTATTAATTATTACATCATAAATTGATGAATAAAAACACTAAACACATGGTTTTATTTGTAGACCTGGGTATCATCATTCATTCACAACATACATTTGTTGAGTCTTACGTACGTATTAGGCAAAGGTTACCACACATTTAACCTTGATTTTACAAATCCCTGGATTTGCATACGCCCTCCGGTCCCTTACTGTACATAAAATTTAGGTTCTACAGCACTAAGTACCCTCACCAAAAATTATTTCAAATTCCAGATGGGAAGTTAATAATTAATTTTATTAGGCATAAAATGTTAATAGTTTGAATTTACAATATTAATGAATATTCTGAACCAGTGTGATATGCTTATTGAGTTTTAGTTATTTTTTTTTATGTGTTTTTTTTTATATAGCTTTAAATTTTGTAATAAATTTTTTATCTAATTGCAATCAATAAATGAAGTGGCCTTAGGCTGTTTCTCTGGGTCCTACTAAATATAACACGGCCAATGCTTTTATTTTACGTGTACTTTATTCCTTTAGGCACACATGGCCAAGGATTACCAATAGCGAATTAATAACTGTCTTATTAGATAGGTGGCAATCCCTTCATATGACAAACATATACATGATGATGCTCTACAAATACTAAAGCCGGTCTCTCACTGCCGACCGTCGTACGACGAATCCAACTCTGCATCCTGTGAGCGCCAAATGATGCAACGCTGTCTGCTGTCGGTTATACTCTGAACAAATCGTCATTAAAAACGATCTATTGTGTGAACGTTATTGGGGTTTCCTCGAAATCCCATCTGCCAACGACCGTCGTGCCTACTGAGTGCCCGGCTTAAAGGCCTGTTTATACTTCAACGATAACGATAAAAAAGCTAAAAAGCGATTGTTCATATAGAAATACCAAAAAAAAAATTGAAGTTTTTACATTAGGACGATTCAATAATGATTTATCGTGTATATAATAACAAAATATTATAACAAATCAAATCATATGATGTCATAATCATGGAAAAACGATAAAATCGTTGCTACTACTACGATTTTAATGTTTTTCCGTGGTTATGACGTCATCTGATTTGATTTGTCAAAATGGTTGTTATTGCATAACTGATAAATCGTTATTGAATCGTTCTAGTGTAAAAACTTCTCTTATTTCTTTTATTTTCTATATGAACAATTGCTTTTTAGCTTTTTATCGTTACCGTTATCGTTGAAGTATAAACAGGCCTTAAGTCTCATTGTGCGGCTTATGGAGTTGAGTTGTTTTTGCCATGAGAAAAGAAATCCTGGAATCTGACAGGATTTGAACCCAGGGCCCTGGGATTGGAAGGCAAACATCTTAACAACAAAGCTATTCAACCCATTCCAGTAATTTTAACCATAAAACAATGTATACAATTATTGCTATAAAACTTTACCTATAAAAGTTAAGCTACTCTTGTGTTACAGTATTCCACATCCTTCCCTGTGGTTTCGTGAGGTAGTAGGACCAGCTACTCCTTGTCTTCGCACAAACCACTATTTACATATTGATTGTAATAACAATGAATAGTTTATATAATTATTACTAGAAATTGCAAATTTCAAGTGAAGTACTGTAAAGTACAACTGCATATAAATGTTCTTCGAACAAAATTATTTATGGGAGTCAAGTGAAAATAATGAATAATAAAAATATAACAAATAATATGAGACACGACCCATTGTCTATATTAGAACACTGACGAGCTGACGTCAACAACAAGCGTCGCCTAAATGTAATATTTAGCACGCTGAAATAGGCTAGTAAATAAGTTTAACTGGGTTCGTAAATAATATTGGCCTCAAAATATTGTGGCTGAGACATGGGCCGATTAAACGTAGAAATAGGAAACCTAGAAATATAGTAAAAACACTGAATAGTAATACTCGAGCGTCGCCACATGTGGACGTTGGTACGTGTAGGTTATTCTACAAATGTTGCCTAAAGTAATTGATTTTACCTGGCAGACGAAAGAAGGAAACTCCGCTTTTCAGTCGTCTTAGGCCCTTGTTTTTTGACAAACAATGACCTTTCAGAGGTCAAATTGCTGTCAAGAATATGAATTGGCTGCTTCGCAGCAATTATTATTATTTAAACTTTACTACACAATTTAAAAAATTAGAAATATATATATTTGATCAGTAGATTTAGTTAAATTTATATGTCACTGGTTTCATCATAGTCTAAAAAAATAGTAATTTACTCTGAGGTAAACTGTAGGGATATTCTAAGCTAGTACTGTATGTCTGTTAATCTTCACATTATTAAACTTTCTTTGTTTTCCAGGATATGATAGTGATGTTCAGCGAGAGAAAGACATGGACTATAGTGCGAAAACATACAACAATCCAATCCGAGAAACCATGGGGGTTAAGCCCCATCTACAAGAATCTATTGAACAAGAGAGGTATGAAATATTTACGTCTGTACGTCAGTACCACCATGTGATCACTCCTTCGTTACTGAGCAACGACCTTTCAACTGTTGTATTCCTTCAAGTACAAATACATGTATAATAACAAGCCTGTAGTGTGGTGGGGGGGGGTTAAGGGGGTTACGACGAACCGCCCAAAAACTGGAGAAGGTCCTCATTTACAAACGAAAGATAGATATTCGTCTATAGATATATCTACAATGTTATCCAGAGTATCGGAGATCATACAAGCCAAAAGGTACTCTTCCTACTGAAACGAAGCTCCCACAAATTAAGTCATGCTACAGGCCTGAATAATAATAATAAATATATTCATATATAGCGCATATCACTATGGAACATATTCCACAACTGCCGCTGCTGTGTCAGCGCATAATTGACACATTGCCTACCAGGTAGCCACTTATACCCCGGGGTGGAGAGAGACAATGTGGATAAAGTGTCTTGCCTAAGGAAACAAGCCAATGGACAGCGGCGTAGCATTCAAACTCCCGACATCAATGTTGAGAAACCAAATCACTACTGCATGTGTCAACCAGGCCAATAATAATACCGATAGTATAAGCCAAAAATAAAATTCTTGTGTTGGCCACGTTTTAAAAAAATTCCAAAAATGGGCAGGTCGTTAGGACAAGTTTATTTTTTTTACCCAATAATGTGTTTATGCCTAAAAAGTAGAAAATACTCTATATACAACAAAGACTACTTCTAAATCTATATTGAAGAGCAAAACGATCGCATAACACTGTCGCATCACCTACTGCCGCAAGATAGTCCCATTCTAGCCTTTTTAGCTCATTCAAAAAATAGTTTTTGCTGTAATAAAAAAACAAAAACAAAAAAAAAACAAAAAAAAAAAATCTAAAAGGCTGACATTCAATTTCAAACATGTACCATGGGATTAATTTCCCAATGGAGTAGCTTAATCCAGGGGGATGGTGCATTGATGGAAATAAAAAAAAAATACATAAATTACAAATTGATTTTGTTCAAATCTGACAGTATCTTGTCCAAGTGAATATAATATAATGTAAAATGTGGGAGAATAGCTGCATTACATTTGTCAGTGGTATACCACCTATAGTGGCCGATATTAATCAGTATTTTTGTCCAACCATGGGCCCAAAACCTGCCGAGTGGGTACCTTAATGAGCAGAATGGGGAGTGATAAGGCTGTGTCCCGTACATGACTGAGCCCTGGGCAGCCCCTACTCCCAAGATAGTAGGGCCTAAAAGCACTGGCCTCGGGTCTCTTTATTATGCCACTTAAATTAGTCCCCTCAAATCTTTATTCTACTTTCACCATAAAATCTTCACTTACTCATCAAAGCTTTTATGTGTCAAATAAGTAAATCTCCCATTGTTTTAGTCTCATGATTTCATTGCCTAATTTGTACATTTAGGCTTGTTATTAGCTTTTCATTGATTACCAATTAACAGATGCGTAATTAATAATGCTCCTATGTTTTTTTACACTCTTTTACATTGACTAGTATTTTAATATTTAGTAGCATAACCGATTTTTTAAAAATAATTTAGTTATTCATTTTAAATGAGCAATTGTTTTCATTAAATTTTACGTGGTTTAAAATTTTATGACAGATGGTAAAATTTCTATTATTAATAGCTAAGTCTATATTATAATTTGTTTTACCAGGCCATCAGTAAGTAGGGGATCTTCCAGCAAACCTCCAAAGGTGAAGAAGAATGAAACTGATACGGGCAAGAGGAAGCGCCCTTCAAAGGTCAAGGTAAGAACTTGCACGAAAGTTTGGTTTTGGCCCTTCATTTACCAGATATTAATATTATTAACAATTTGTTAATTATATTTTGCAAAACAATGCGGAAGGTGGTTTTGATGAAGTGGTTGCCATTGAGTTCAAACCACCTACTGACTGTTCTCAGATACCCCAGCTTGCATTGTTCGACTAAAATAGACTTCGTTGACAACGAAATTTAACGTAAACCAGAGTGCGTTAATTAGTGTTAAGTTATTCATGTGACCAAAACAAACATGGCCGATTGGTCATTTATTATTATATATCATATAAATATAAAAAATATAATATGATTGTACATGTTTTTTGTCAATTTCAAATACGATAATATTTAGTGATTGTTTATTGCTCTTTACAGGACCTTACTTTGGAATATATTTACGGTTACCGTGGATTTGATTGCCGTAACAACCTTCATTATTTAAATGACGGTGCAGATATTATTTACCATGCTGCAGGAGCTGGGATAGTCCAAAATTTGGAAGCTGGTAAGTGTGACTTAGAGGGCTGATATAATTATAAATTGTCTGTACTCTTCTACACTTTGAAGTGGAAATCTTGCTTGGAAGAGGTTAACGGTGATCAAGATATGAATACAATACAGGTAGCATAATGAATATTTATGATTATGTTACAATGCAAACATATTTTTCCTTTCAGGAACTCAAAGCTTCTATCTGGAACACACAGATGACATTATTTCCTTGACCATCAACCAACATCCAAAATGTAAGAATCTAGTGGCTACTGGACAGATTGGTGACATACCCTCAATCCATGTATGGGATGCGACAACTAAGAAAACCATCTCCATCCTCCGTGGCTTTCACACGAAAGGCGTGTGCTCGCTGAATTTCAGTGCAACAGGGAAACTCCTGATATCAGTTGGAATTGATGAGGATCATTCAATAGCTATCTGGAGATGGCAGGATGGTAGGTTCTGGGAATTATCCAGTTCATCATGAATTGAGAAGTCTTGGGAAATTTGATACTTGTATTTTGACTAAATTAAAGTATCTGAATTGGTAGGCTGGTACCCTGGGGACAGGCAATTAACAGCCACAGTGCAGCGTCATCCTGGTGATGAATTGTGTAATACACTTCTGGAGACAATTCCTTGATCTTTTCTGGAAGTGTACTGTTAACAAGTACATGAGAATGGTTCGCGATTAAGATAATGAGCAAGGTAATTGCCACTCACATAATCCATATGGTGCAAAAATACTTTTTTATCTTAAAGGTGGTGTTGGTTCCTCTGCATTACTCTTTTTCAAGAAGGTTTATATTATGTCATATCATATCATTTATTTTGCCTTAATAACAAAAAATACAATACAGAAACACAAGTGGTAAATCTGCGAGGCAAGATTGCCAAAATGTTATGAAATAAATAACAGTCAAGGTGACTCTCCGCACAGAAAAACTAGACAACAAAGAGGATTACATAGCCAAGTATATATAAGGATTCAATTAATATTTTCATTTTAAAAATCACATTAATATTAATAAAAAGGAATTTCATTAGGTATTTAAAATATATTTAGAATTTATTTTTTATTTCATTCGCATCCAACTGTGAGTAACACACCAATTACCGGATGGACAATGCTTTATACACCAAGCCACTATATGAGGCTTCAGGAGTGTAGTTGATTTTACTCATGAGAAAAAGAATTGAACCCAGGACCCCGGGATTAAGGCCTGGTTACACTATGATGAACGATCAACGATGAAAAACTAAAAAGTAATTGTTCATATAGAAAATAAAGGAAATAAGAGAAGTTTTCACACTAGCAGGATTTGATAACAATTTATCGTGTGTACAATAAAAAAAAATAAGTTTACAAATCATATCAAATGACCTCATATTCATGGGAAAATTATAATATTGTTTTTACTACTACGATGTTATCGTTTTTCCATGATTATGACATTGGGTTGGATTTGTTAAAATATTTTGGTATCGTATATACGATAAATCATTATTGTATCATGCTAGTGTGGAAACTTCTCATATTTCTTTTATTTTCTATAGGAACAATTGTTTTTAGCTTTGTATCATTGATCGCTATCGTCATAGTGTAAACAGGCCTCTAGAAGACAAGTATCTGATAACCAAAAGCTATTATACTCCACTCTTACTTCATCATTCTTAGCTTTAAAATTGTTTGCATACAATACAGATTGTTCTAATTTCATTATCTTGTTTTATAAAATTATTATTTTAATTGAACTGATTGTTGTTTTCTAGGATCTAAAGTGGCAAGTTCCCCAGGGCATTCGAAAAGGATCTTCCTAGCTGAATTCCGTCCAGACTCTGACACCCAATTTGTGAGCATTGGAGTGAAACATGTCAAATTCTGGACTTTGGCTGGAGGTCAGCTGATCTGTAAGCGAGGATTGATGAATAGTGCGGGGAAGAACACTCAGGGCGTTCGGATGCAGACTATGCTATCAATTGCATTTGGAGCTGTATGTTATTGGTTTATATTGTTTTTGCCTTAAATGTTTGTTATTACCAGCCTGCCAATAACCTAAACTAGTGTCTACTGTCTATATAAACACAAAAATGAAGATTATGTTTACTGAATGACAATAACAAATTTAAATAGGCACTCAATAAAGAGCACACCTTCACCAGACCATTTTATTAATGTGATTTTTCAACTATTCATGATTGACCTTTTACCTTTTCACCCCAAAATCTAATCATCTCTTCTTTGTTTTTGCATACTCCTACTGAAATAACAGAGAGACAGTGGGGAGATGAAAATGTAACTGTAAATAGTGAAAGCTGGTATGCTTCTCAATTTTCAACCTTACATGGGTCATCATCAGAAATGAAAAAAAAAAACAAAAAAAAACATAAGAGACAATAAAGTAGCAAACAAATTATTATACTATTCATAGTTTATCATCACCTTAATTACAATTTTCATTGTTGTACCTGAATAATAAGTGTTAAAATTAATGAAAAAAAAATTGAAAAGAATAAATAATTAAAGTAATTTTATAAGTATTCATAAGTATTTTATGCTTTGTAATTCATTTTATTTACTTTTATAATTTATAAATGTCATTGTGAAAAAAAGATGATGTTTTTCTATTTGTTTAAATACATTTTGTTAGCCATGTGGTGCTCCATAGAGAACTAACTCTGTGTGGATATGAGCAATCCCATCTGCAGTCAGCCACATTTATTTTGATTATATTTGAACTGGTAAATAATTATGATATGATGCAGTATTAAAATAACTTGTATCCAAATTTATTTTATTTTTATAGAATGATCAGACATTCACTGGTTCAATGAGTGGTGATATTTATGTTTGGAAGGGTAATTTGCTAAACAGAGTTGTTGAGAAGGCCCATCAGGATGCAGTGTTCTCTTTATACACTACCCTCAAGGATGGTCTCATTGTATCAGGTGGCAAAGAAAAACCGTAAGTACATTATCTTATTGCGTTCAACATAAGAAATGAAGAAATAGAGAGAATAGGGAGAAGTGCAGAAATCCTAATCAAGGCTGTCTGAGCGGCAAGGGGTTGTTCAGACAGTACAGTATATACCAATATTGGGGATAATTTTACTTTGTTCGTAGCTGCCAAGCTTTAATAAAACTCCATGTAAAGTCTTTTGACTCAGTCAACTGTTCAGGTCTGATATAAAAACAAACATATGTAACAAGCATTTACCACAGTGTGAAATTTGCGTGCAAGCTTTCCCGCATTAAATAATTTTGTTTAGCACTTCATAACAAATAAACTACCACATAATATTCTTAATAATGGCCTGATTTTACATCTAGATATAGCTATGGAATAGCAGTTATTTGAATGATTGATAGTGCAACAGGGCAGCCAATAGCAGGCTATTATGTTAATAATTATAAAATGATAATAATATATTAATAATATTTAAGTTCAATTCCGCTTTCTTGATGTTTTTCATAATAGCGTAATTCTGACAGGGAGGGCTTTTTCTTTGTACAGTAAATCACAAAAATCAGGTTCCAAAACAACAATTCAAAATAAAAAATTCTAGACAGCGGATAAACATAACAGTAATTTTTAATTTTGAATAAATGTTTCAGTTAAAACATTAACCATCATCACTTCAACTAACACAAAAGAAAAAATAAACAGAAAATACTGTTCTCAACATATTTAACTAGTAAGATTAATGCATATGCATGATGCAGTCTTTGTATTTTTGTGGTGTGTTTATGGTGAATGGTGGAAATTTGTGATTATGGTTATTTAAATTAGATGGATAATGTTGGGATGACTTCCTAAGTCAAGTCTCTGCTACTTACAAAGAGAAGAACTGTGCTTGGTGGTCAGAATTGCGCTATTATTTAAAAAAAATATGATGCCAGAAACTATTTGTACTTCAACTTTTGACAGAACTGTAAAAAGTTTCGGAGTTTGCATTTATATTAATAATAATATTAAGAATACGATACTAAAATATTTAATAATAATTGATATAACGGTAGACCCTTTTTGCCTTATTTTTATTATATTTGTAATTAAATTTGAAACATTCAAAACACTTATTCTTTTTTTTTTGTGAAATGTGTATTGTCCCCATCTTCTTTAAAAGTGATTTAATAATTTTCAATATTTTCTACTTTTGATAGCAGTAAAGACATAATTATAAATATTACGAATAAACTTTTTCGTTGTATAGTAAAATAATTAATGATAATTGATATAGCGGTAGACTATTTTTCTGCCTAATTGTTATTATTTTTGTAATTAGATTTTACACTCTAAATACTTATCATTTTCAATGTGAAATATTGTAAAATACTAATAGGAGTAAAGAAGGTGGTCCTGTCAAGATCTGGGACCAAGAAATGAAGAGATGTCGAGCATTCCAACTTGATTCTGGCAATAAAATTGATGTTGTCAAGTCTGTCTGCCGTACAAAGGTAAGGGGGTAGGGGTAAGCTATTGATCATTCATTTTCCATAAATATATTTTTAAAAACTGTTTGGGTTGAACTTTAGAATATAATTTAATATATGAATGAATAAATTAAATCCTTATTAGAAGATGCATAATTCTGTTCATATAATTGAAATTGTTTGGGATAGGATTATATATGAGAGACAGATCAGTATAGTTCATTTTTTGCTGATTTACAGTCAATGAAAATCCTTAAATATTTAACCATCAGCAAGTTTTGGCAATTCAATTGGCTGAGCGGTTAAGGCAGAAGTCTCTCTTCTTGGTTCAGTGTGCATTCTTCATTAGCTATTATTATGGGTGTATGAGAAAATGACAGAGTGGCTAGATTTTGTGCATTTATTAGTTAAGCAACCCTGTTAGTATGGATACATTTAACCTCGTCCTATAAAAATTAGTTATAGGATCTGTGATTTAACAATATGCATTGTTTAATGTTATTTAATAGAGAGGTTTCACACGCATACAAATACATGTACACATACATATAGCTATCTGTAATGGTTTGTAGCCATGCTGTGCTTTTTGCAAGGACAGCAAAATTTAAGCGAAAAAAAAAAACAAGCAGATTTAATTTGATTTTGCTTGCTTGCTGGAGTGTGGGAGGCCGTCAAGATTTTCGGGAGACTCCCGCTACTTACGGGAGACTTGGGACCTCTGAAAGTAATTTCAATTTGCTGAGTGTTTATCTTTTTTTGTTTAACAGGGCAAAATACTTGTTGGTACCAAGGACTGCGAGATCATTGAAGTCACGGAGAAGACATCAAGCACCAAGAAACTTCTACAAGGTCACGGAGAAGGTGAAATGTGGGGCTTAAGTACTCACCCTTCTAAGTCAATGTTCGCATCTGCAAGTGATGATAAAACAATTCGAATTTGGGACATTCAAAACAAGGTGGGAGATTATCATTTTCAGAATCTGTTCTGTGAATCAATTCATCATTAAATCAGTCAGCCTTTAGCACTTTTGTCATAGATAAAAGTTTTTTTTACATAGTTGATAGTTGATTGGCATATGTTTATTTTTTTTTTTAAATCTATATTTTAGTTTTTAACTTTAAACCACTTTTTATATAGTAATAATTTATCATTTTTTTAGGGAAACAATGATAATACTTGTGCACCAGTAAGTATCATTATAAATGCATTTTAACCTTGAAAAATTCAATAAGCTTTTATCTGCTTCATTAATTAGGTTATTAATTAATAAATTATAAATTTATTGGAGAATATATTTTGGAGCTAATCTAGCTCCAGTTTAGCAATATATTCCTGTTTAAATACAAAATTTTGTTCTGTCTCATGCTTTTATGTTACTACATGTGTTTCCCATAATATGTAGCAGCATTTTGATATCATGGGTATACAAATTGTATGAATTTAAAAAAAATACTATTTGCCCTAAATTCAAATTGTTGCAGTAATATTGCAGTGGCAACATTCTTGGAGCTGAATAACTTGGTGGTTCGGGTGCTTGCCTTCAAATCCCAAAGTTCTGGGTTCAATTCCTGTCAATGTTGCAAGATTTGTTCTCATGACGAAAACAATTCCACTCCCTAAATCTCATATTGAGATTTAGTTTGTGTAAAGCATCGTGTGTGTATGTTTGTCTTGTGAAAGGGATTGTCACCTACAAGTAGGACATTGTTATTTTCACTATTGATAATCCTTGGTGCATGTGTTGTGTGCCTAAATAAATAAATAAAATAAAATAAAAGAAATAAATGAAGATTAAAAAAACATATAATGGATATATTGTTCCTTATCTTTCTCTAAACTCCTATGTTAAATAAAATAATTTCATTTGGCTTCTGATATATTATTTTCTTTGATACTAAATCTTAGTAAAGTGGCTAAGTATCACAGAAAATTTACATGATCTTATGTCAAAAGTTATTCAATAAGTTGAATTATCAGACCTAAATTAAATATAGGTTCCCAGCAGGTGCATGTGTCTAACTGCTTGACATCTGATTTTTGTTGGCTACTTTTAACTCATCCATGCTTTCTGTGTTGGCAATTCACTAGAATTAACTGTACAAGTATCTCAGATTGTTGTGACTTTTTAGTGAAACTTCTTGGGCAGTTCTTAACTAGCAGCTTTCTGTTTTGTCAATAGGACAGGTCTTGTCCAGCATGGCATCATATTCATAGACTTGCTTTTTAATTTTTGTCTTTAGCTCATGACCCATCCCATCATTCCTCCACCAGATTTACTCTTACAAGGTCAACTGCCAGACTGCGGGGGTAGTAGACACAAAACCGATACTAGCCAGGCTTCAACTGGGGCCTTTAGCAAAATGAAGCAGGAACATTACCTGTTGGTCAAATGCTCAGCTACTTTGTTATTCATGCACAATACATTCTGTTAATTACTTATTCAGAAAGCATTTTGTATTGTTAAATAAGATGTGTTTGGTAATTTTGCTCAGTTACAGCTTTTGTACATTACCATCAGTGTGAACATTTATTTTGCTAGTGCTCTAGCCCCTTTCCCCCCAGTTTTTAAATAATCGAAAATCTGTATCTTATTAATTGTTGTTTTTTTCATGAAACACCCTTTTGTGTCTTAAAAAAATCAAAACTTTTTTTCCCTCCCGAGTTTGGCTTTAACTGCAGAGCATCAGTAAAATTTATTGTAGAGATTTATAAAAAATATTGTTTATAGTATTTAGCATTTTATCTTAATAATTGAACTTTATTTTGAGATTGGGGCCTGAGTCTTGTACATTTCATTTTTGTCCATCGGCAATGCACTTTATCCACATTTGGGAGCTTTTGAATTGTGACGACATAACCCTAGAACGAACTTACTCATCTGTGACCATCCTGTCTTCTCTGCACAACATAGATTTGGACTTCATCCTGGAATCCAGACGACAATGTGAACTCCACTTTGTCGTCCTACTGTCATCATGTAATCAAAAACCCTCTTTAGTTTGTCTCTCTCCTCATCTGGAAATATAAGTAGGTTCTTCATAGCACAGCTAGCTGGTTATGTAATGTAATGTAGTCAGATTCGCATGGGGCTAACTGATAAGTTTGATAAAAGATAGTATAAAACAAACTGAAAAATAGTGATACAAGGTGAAGTCATTCAATATTTCAATTTTTTTTTTCATCTTTAGGAAGTCCTTATGTAGTTCAGCTACATGAAGTGCTAAATGCTGAAATATCAAAACACTTGAACAGTAGTAGCTCATATAGTAACTTCCATTAGTATCACTTGCTATCTGAACTACCTGGTAAACTGTTGACAGCTCTTCTTGTCTGCCAAGAACAGTGTGTGAACCAGTACTTTGTGGTAACCTGTACTTGTCTTAAAAGATGTACTGGGTTTTGTAGTGCACTTGAGCCAATTGTGTACACTCTTTAAGATCAAAAAAATGAAAATTGATAAAATTACAAGTTGTAAACTTGAACTCTTTTTACTTCAGAAAATGGCATACTTAGCTAAGCTTGGAGCAGCAGCAAGGTCTATATGTTACAGTCCTGATGGTGAGATGGTTGCAGTTGGGCTAAAGAATGGAGAATTCATGGTAGTTGTGGCAGCCACCTTGAAAGTCTGGGGGAAGAAGAGGGACAGGAACAAGACAATTACTGACATCAAGTAATTTTGATTGCATTTGTATAATTTTTGTTGAGTGGAGTCTTGCTTTAAGTAGAACAAGCAAGTGTAACAATATTCCTTTGCAAACTACCGTCTGTATTTTGGAGTAAAACAGAATATTAATAAATAATACTTAATAAAATGATTAAAAAGATTTATTTGATCTAAAGATGATCAAATGGTGATGATTCATTGTTGGATTGAAATAAATAAATAAATACCAAATTTGAATTCAAAAAGTTTTTAAACAAAAAAATTGAGACAGTATGAGTTATTTCTTTTTATCAAACTTCTTTTTTGTCACTAGATTTAGTCCAGATGGTAAGCATCTGGCGATTGGTTCTGATGATGGATGCGTGGACTTCTATGACTTAACCCAAGGCCCCAGTCTGAATCGTGTTGGTTTCTGCAAGGGTATCCCAAGCTTTGTGTTTCAACTAGATTTTTCTGCTGATGGGAAATTCATTCAGGTAATTACATATAGTCTGGATTCAAATAGGGACCACAGTGGAAATAAGTTGCTTTTTGTACTTTTCTGTGTTTTTATCCTTGAATGATTTTACTAATAATTACTTCAGAATGAATAAATAAATAAAAAAATAAAGTCAATGATGTCAGGGCATATCCAGGATGGCCATTGGGTGTGTTGGGAGGGGGGGGGGTGGCTGTGGAGTGTGCAAATATGGACCAAGGGGCATGGAGTCACCTAGAATCCATGGTGGTTTCAAAACTCAGTAGTATAAGGGTTCTTATGGCTTTATACTGTAATCAAACTCTGCCTCATACTTCATGAAAATACCCAAATACTAGCCTAATAATAGATACTGGTAAAACTTTAAGATTCGTTTATATTACAGGAAAAAAAACCCCAAATTATATTTTCAGTACATTCAGGACTGTCTTATGAATTTGGACCATTTCTTATTTGGGGTATATACATATTCACTCCTCTCATCCCCCTCCCCCGGACATTTACATCAGTAATCACAGTAATTCTATCCACTAATAGTACACTTTTCATGTTAAACAAGCTTTTTGACATATTCCTTGATGCAGTTCGGACGAACCCCTCCCCCTGGCTTACAAAAGGCATGCTAACCTTCCTAGACATAGGTTTGAAGATCAGACAAACTAAGCTTTATAGCTCAACTAGTTTTCAATTAAATAACTTATGCACACTGTTTTTGGTTCGCCGTCGTGATACTTTATGTATTAAAGTGTGTTCTTCAGGCCTATCGGTTCATCGATCCATGGAAGAAAGACTACATATCTAACTACTCAATGTTGTTGGAATCTAGGGAAAAAAGTACCTTGAACAGTGTGTTCCTTATGTATTCTGTATATTAATATAATAATATATTTCCTGTCTTTGATTTTTTTTCCTCTATGACAGACCTAAAGAATTAGATAAAATTACCTGACCTTTTTTCAGGAGGGGAAAAACTTTGAAATTTTAAGAACTTAAAGGTCATTAAAATACTCCTCAGATGTCGGGAAAGCTCATTTCTGGCCATCTAGGAACCCCCCTTTCATTTTGGGGTTTTTTGGAAACATTTTCAATCCCTTTCTTTTAAACCTTGGATTCGCCCCTGCAGTTGATAGAGAGTGAAGGTAGAACGCTGGTCACACTGCATAGTCGGAGGTGAATGATTATTAAAGTTGGTAGTGCTGAATTACACCATTACTGGGAATACTCCCAGGGAGTGGGGGAAATTGGAAGTTGTGTATGATTGATACTGAATCCAGGGAAAAAAGTACCTTGAACAGTATGTTCCTTATGTATTCCGTATATTCCATTGCAATTGTAGGTTGGAACAGGAGCCTATAAGAGACTTGTGTATAATGTACCAGGAGGTAAACCCATCATGGATAGCGCCACCATTGACAAGATTACTTGGCAGACATGGACAAGGTACTGTATTGATAACTATGGCTTTTGTCCTTTTTATGTATGCATTATCATTTTAGGTTCAACTTTACATTGGTTCTGGTTGAAATTAAAATTACTGTCTTTTTCATGTTTTATCCATGGTTATTTATCCATGTTTCCTGTTCCTGTGTTCAAGTCACAGAGTGGTGATGAATGGGTGACCCCTGGGAGGTTTTGCACTTGTTTTTGCCAGTTTTTCCCCACAAATTAAGTTGAATTTAAGGGGAAAAAAAAGAAATTTTAAAAAAAAATGCAGAAAATGCTACTATTCTCTGAAGGTGGAAATGGCTCCGCGAGCAACTCGATCTCTAAAATGGATACTTGTGCCCTATAAGATTATTATCATAATCATCATCATCAACATCATCATCATCATCATCATCATCATCATCATCATCATCATCATCATTATTATTAATGTCAATGTCTTTATAGCAAATTGCCACTAATATTAATAAAAACTTGTGTATTGTTTTGTTTGTTGTGCTTAGACCTTAAACAAATGCACCACTCACCTAAAGTTTTGAGATTGGCTTGGGTTTATCTAGGTGTAACTCATTCACATAGACTATGAACATTAATCGCTGCTGATTTGTTTAACTTATATGTGTCCACATTTTTCAACAATTAGTTTTTAATTTGTTTAAGAGTTATCATTAGGAATTGTACATAGATTATTATTTTACTAATGTGATCAAGCAATTTTAATAATTCAATAATATTATTTTTAGAATGAGATCTGACAATTAGTTTCTTTTGTTTTTAATGACAGTGTCCTGGGTCAAGAGGTCATTGGAATCTGGCCTCGTAAAGCAGAGAAAGCTGACGTCAACTGTTCGGTTGTTTCTGGAAATTCCAATGCAATCGCAACGGGAGATGATTATGGTTTTGTCAAACTGTTTGATTTCCCAAGCTCAGAGAAATTTGTGAGTGTGCTATTTTGTATTCACTTCATCTTATTTTATCAATTGATAATAATATTGTACAAAAGTATCATCAATTGTACAAAAGTACCAAATATATACATTATTTGGTACTTTTGTACAATTGATGATAATATTGTAAAAAAGTACCAAATAATGTATATATTAAAAAGACTTATATTGACACAGACATGAAAGATACTCTGCATAATGGTAAAATATGGGAAAACATAAAAACTAAAATTAAACCATTTATTTGCTACCTTGAATTATAATGAGACATTATCAAATTATAATAAGTTTTTAGCTGTATTCAATAATATACTACAAACATATTTTGCCTGCCAATATTAGGAGTTGGAGCTGTAGCTTGTTGGTTAAGATGCTTGCTTTCCAATACCAGGGTCCTGGGTTACTGATCTCTACTATAATAGCTGGATTGCTCATTGGCTGGTTTTAGTGAGGCCATGTTGGAGGGCCTAAGCAACGTATCAGTTTAGACAATTTTTTTTTGCCATTTGTTTAAATTATTGTTAAAAATAAGGATTCTTGCAAAACTTTTTAATAATAAATTTAACGTAATCATTAGTTTTCAACTCATCTAATCACTTGATGTGACTTTTTATCCAGTTTGAAAAATGCAAGCGAAGTTATTTGCGTTGTTAGTGATCGACCTCACTTTAACATCATGACTTTCCTCATGCTTTTGTAAACTGCATAAACAGTTGGATCGAGTGGTTATATGATTTGAAAAAAATTCTTACATTAAATTTTAATTTATCATTGTAAAGTATTGCACAAATCATAATTTTTAACAATAATCTAAACAAATGCCAAAGGAAACTTGTCTAAACTAGTACGTCACTTATGCCCTCCAACATGGCATCGGTGGCAGCTTAACTCAGTCGACTAATCTGGTGGTAGCCACTGTCTGTGCGCTGAACCGTGGAGATCTCTAGCTCCCCGGTTCAATTCCCATCGCTGCCTCTCCTTGTGTTTCAGCTAGAGGGCTGAAATACAAGTTACAGTTAGCGCATCGTCTTTCGGATGAGACGTTTAAGCCGTTGGTTGCGTGTACATTTATGGCCCATGTGCACGTTAAAGAACACAGTACACTCTTCGGAAAAGAGTAGGGGATTGTTTCCCAGTGTACTGTCCAATCACCACCAGAAGGACCCCACTGGGATATACATTAAGTCTTCTTCTAGACTTTCGTGGGTATCATTGGTGTTTACACCGAATAAATCCAATCCAAATCCAGTAGCCTCACTTTTTTCTGTACAAGGATTGGCCGATGAGCAAACCAACTATTATAGTATAGGTCAGTGGTTGAAATCTTGTGACTGCAAGAAAACTAAACTCCACTCGCTAAGCCTCATGACTTGGTTTATAAAGCATCGTTCCATCCTGTAAGTGGCGAGTGTACAGTACTTGCTGTTGGATGTGAAGGAAAAGAAAAAAAAAAGTGACTATGAACTGCAACTGAATATTTGGGGTGACATGAGCACATTTACAATCAAAGCAATAGGTGACTAGTAACCTAATGATGCTATTAGTCATAAGTGATATTAGCACTGTTTACAACTGGTTCTACCTGAAATAAATTAGTTGAACATTTAGTTCTACCTAGTGCTGATAGTAGTGAAATTATCGTGGGTGGAATTTCACTTGAGCACAACCAGCAACTGGTTGATGCACTGTTCATTGGCAAGGAAAATGTTTTGTAATTAAACAAATATTGAATTCTAGTGTTCAGGTTAATTTAATGATAATAATTTATTTCCATTCGTTTAGCTAAGAAACAAATGCTGAAACCTAGGAGGCAAGCTTGTATACAGATTCCGGTAACTAACTTAGTACCTTTGCAACTATAACGGACACAAACATTGTCCTCAACCTGCCTAACTGTCAATATGAGGTTTATTTGAGGAGCCAAGTTATCAGACTCCAATTAAAACCCAACACAGGCTGGGTTTGAACCGGGATCTTCAGCACAAGAATCGGGAACAATACCTCTCAGCCAACCGCTTTGCTTGTGTATCAACACAGACTATATAATATGATACATCTTTAATTATATTTTCATATCCACTTTATTCATTGGCAGGCACCTCATAAGAAGTATGTGGGACATTCTGCTCATGTGACCAATGTGAAATTCACCTTTGATGATCGATACCTGATCAGCGCTGGTGGCGATGATTGCTGGTGAGGATGCACTCTATTTATCAAATTTTAGCTTTCATAGGCAGATTCTAAGGAGGGTGGGACAGATGGCCCCATGGAGAAAAAAAAATGAAAATGATATTTAGATTTATGTCTGGAGTGCCATTTTTGACCATCTAGAAGCCTGGAAGTGTTTTGGCGCTGCGGTAATGCTTTGGTTTCCCAATCTCGAGGTCAGGGTTTCCATCCCTTGCCGTGCATTTCGCTTGTGTCCTTGAGCAAGACACTTTATCTGCATTGCTTTCTTCCACCCAGGAGTATGAATGGGTACTCTGGTGGGGTTGCCTGCTCCTGCGCTGATTACCAGCAGCAACACTCAGCATGTGGACCCAGTGGCCAGAAAAAGAACTGTGCTTTATAACTGCAATGAAGAGGCGCATTATAAATGCCCATACCAGTACCAGTACTAGTGGTTTCAGCCATAGCCATACAATTTTGTACCTTAGCCTGAACCGTGGTCTGGGTCCGCTATCTGTAAAGTCCTTCCCTGGGCCGCTTAATACGCCACTGGTGTTGGCCTGTCTTTTATTTTTTCGACAGGCAATTTATTGTAATAGTGTTAGTACCGTAAATAATCCATTAGGCACTACAGTGCTTTTACAATTTGTGGAGATGTCAGTGCAGCAATGATTAATTTGAGAGTAACACTTAATACGAGGGAAGTGTAATTTCACTGTTCCCTGCTTAATACAAATTATTTTAGAGTTAGAATGGTATGTATTGTATGCCTATCTGACTTGTTGCAAAGTTAGTAATTATCAAAGATCTTATAATTCTGTACAAGCATAACAAATAAAAGCACTTGTTTTCTGTAAAAAGAAGCATAAAAAGTAATCATTTTTGAGAGGGCATCCTAGTTGCATCCATAAGGGCCCCTACACTGCATTGTTGCAGAATTTGCATGTGGAAATTGCGGAGAAAACTATCTTGTAATTATAAGATCTTTAGTAATTATCTACTTTGGAACATACATGTATATATAAATGCAGACCAAAATAATACAGTACCCATGCATATGCTGCTTAACAAGCCCAATGAGTTTCTGTGGGAACATTTCATTTTCAACTTTAATGGATTTTGTTCTATTATTATTCTTTACTAGAATTAAAAAACTTTTATCAGAAGGTTGCTGTATTTTTTATTAACTATTATAAAAGAAAATGAATATAATTTGTTTTAAAATCCTATCCTAATAATTTTTTTCTTTACAAGAACCTTGGCCCTCGCAAGCATCAATTTACATTGAGAATCCAATGTTAACATTTAATATATTTTTTTATACAGTTTATTTGTATGGAAGACCAACTGAGAGTGATTCTCAATGCCATTGGTGTGTTACTTCAAGAAGATATAATTTAAATGAAGAGCCTGTATAAAGTCTTCAACACTTCACTTCCGATAAAGCTGACCTCATCAGCGGGCGAAATACTTTTGGAATCTTAATCTTTCTTTGGTGTTTAGTAAATTGCTTCAATAATTTGTATGCTAATGCTTTTCTGTGTTTTTCAAATTAGCTCAGTTATAATGATTGGTCAATTTCCATATTTAACAGATGTTTTTATCTGATCCTATATCATAAAAAAAATGTATTTACTAAAAATTTAAAAGAATTAAGTAACATTCCAATTAAAAAAAATGATGATAATATGTGAACACATCTATCTGGAAATTGATTAGTTAGTACAGTACTTTAATTAAAAATGTTTGTAGAAATAGTGGTTATAGAAAAAAGAAATTTCATAATTTCCCTAACTTTATAAATAACAATCATGAAACTCATTACTATATATTTTGTCATATTTAATGGAAATTTCTTATAAACATAACATAACAATAAAATAAAAGTTAAAGTTAACCCTATTTATATATTGTATTTATAGAGAAAAAGCCTTGAAAAAATTACCAGTAGATTAGGAACTATAATTTATATACCATTTAACCTGCGTCTGTATAGTCTGGTAGACTGCTATAAAGTAAATCATGCACAACAAATCTATTTTTTTTTTGCTGCGAAGCAGCCAATTCATATTCTTGACAGCAATTTGACCTCTGAAAGGTCATTGTTTGTCAAAAAACAAGGGCCTAAGACGACTGAAAAGCGGAGTTTCCTTCTTTCGTTCTGCCGGGTAAAATCAATTACTTTAGGCGACGTTTGTAGTCTAACCAACACGTACCAACGTCCGCATGTCGCGCTAGCCTTATCCTACTCTAGGCCTAGACTAGCTAGGATGGTATAGGCCTAGCATTGAAGGGATGAAAGTCCCAATGAAAAACAACGTCGCTCCTTGGTAGCTAACATTGTCTATTTAACATCACAATAATTCATTATTAGACCTATATTTGTTTTTTGAATTTTACTCCACAAATCTCAGCCGATACCTCGCACAACTCGAGTAACGTCTCGTATCTATTGTCGTGACGTCATGGCTCGCTGGCTCACACTTGCGGTTTCGCACTTGTGATCAAA